ATATCTTCTGCAGTAGTTTGTTCTATATTTCTTGTTACTTGTGGATTTTTAATTTCAAATTCACTAGGTATAGTAATTTCATTCCATTTTAATCTTTTTGGAATATATGTAGCAGGTCGATCTGCATCTACTTGTAATAAAGTTGTTTCGTCTTTAAGAGTTGGAGTCATTATGAATTTTGGATTTAAATGTGAAGATAAAGGTCTATAATATATTCTGTATATTATTGCAAAATTCTTTGTATGTTTTACAAAGTCATGAATATCATATGCCTATAAACAATTCAGATTGGACAATCCCAGAAGAAAAAATTGAACACATTTATAGAATTGGCCCTTTAGATTTCAAAACTGCTTTATCAGTCAAAACCCATGAAGAAACAATATCTATTCAAGAAGAATATCAAACTATACAATTATTAAATCATAGTACAATTCAAAAATATTTAAGTAAAGGATATCGTTATATTCATATTGGATTAATACAAATTGCTGTAAAGCCCTTATTCCATTTAGGAGTTGATGCTCCAATATACCTAGCTTTAAGAGACACTAGACTCAAAAGATATAAAACATCTTTATTATCAATGATTCAAACTAATGTTTGCAACGGACCAATATATTTTAACTGTGCTCCAAACTTTTCAATAGATTTAACAGACCCTCATATATTAAATTCAGTTATACTAGATATTCATCTACAAGGAAATGAATAGGAGTTTTATATTTAAAATTTGATGTACTTTCTATAGGGAAATTAATTTCAGATGACTCATAATTTGAACGTCTAGCTGGTAACCATGAATAAGATGATTCTGGTCTTTCTCTTAATGATGTAAATCTTATTAAAGTACTTCCATCCGATTTTTCTATAATATCTTCAGTAGTTTGTTCTATATTTCTTGCTACTTGTGGATTTTTAATTTCAAATTCACTAGGTATAGTAATTTCATTCCATTTTAATCTTTTTGGAATATATGTAGTAGGTCGATCTGCATCTACTTGTAATAAAGTTGTTTCGTCTTTAAGAGTTGGAGTCATTATGAATTTTGGATTTAAATGTGAAGATAAAGGTCTATAATATATTCTGTATATTATTGCAAAATTCTTTGTATGTTTTTCAAATTCATTTCCTTGTAGATGAATATCTAGTATAACTGAATTTAATATATGAGGGTCTGTTAAATCTATTGAAAAATTTGGAGCACAGTTAAAATATATTGGTCCGTTGCAAACATTAGTTTGAATCATTGATAATAAAGATGTTTTATATCTTTTGAGTCTAGTGTCTCTTAAAGCTAGGTATATTGGAGCATCAACTCCTAAATGGAATAAGGGCTTTACAGCAATTTGTATTAATCCAATATGAATATAACGATATCCTTTACTTAAATATTTTTGAATTGTACTATGATTTAATAATTGTATAGTTTGATATTCTTCTTGAATAGATATTGTTTCTTCATGGGTTTTGACTGATAAAGCAGTTTTGAAATCTAAAGGGCCAATTCTATAAATGTGTTCAATTTTTTCTTCTGGGATTGTCCAATCTGAATTGTTTATAGGCATATGATATTCATGACTTTGTACTACATTTTCTTGCTTTGAATTAGATCCTATTTTTAATTGTCTAAGAAATGCAGCCATGCTTAATATTTAATTAAATTTTACTTAGACGGGAACAACCGAGCCTATGCCTGGAACATCCTATCCCAGAAGTTGTAAATCAAAATAAATCTGACTATTCCCCAACACATTCTCAAATGCAAGGAGAAATAAATGTTATAAATAGACCATATAAAATAAATCATAAATATTTACAAGAAGATTTTGATGATGAAGAAAACACAGAAAAAAGAATTTGGTTTTTTCAATTAGAATCAGAATATAAAGAAAAATTAATATTAGAATGGAAAATAGAAATAGAAAAACAAAAGTTTGACTTTCCTTTCTTTACATGGTTAACATTTTACACATCAAAATTAGGAATAAGTGATGTTTATAATATTCCACAAATAAATGTTCAAACTAATTTATATAAAAAATGGAAATTGAAAGATGATCAAATATTAACATCAATACACCCTCCATTACAAGAAGTAAAAATTAATCTAGGAAAAGGAGAAGTAATAGCCTCACCTTTTAAAAAGGGAAGAGAAGCTGAATCAAGTACAAATAATTCAATAAATCTTGAAGATCTTAAAAAAGTTTATCAACAAAATAATTATACAAATCAAATTCTTCATACAATATCTCAACATATGGAAGTATTAAATACAAAAATTGATACACTAAAGAAACCAGATTTAAAATTCCCAAATGATATATCAGCACCTCATTTTCAACCTAGAAGTCTGACAAGAGAAAAAGAACAAGATTTAGTACAAAGTATTAGTACTCAAAAGATAAGTAATACAGATAATTTATTAAATAAAATATCTAATGCATTACAAAATCTAACTACAGATTCAAAACCAACAACACCCAAAATAAATACCTTAGACCAAATAATAGAAGAAAACTCTACTGAAGAATTAGAAGATTTATCAGAAGAATCAGCAAATTCAGACATAGAAGAAAATATACTTTTACCAATAGAAAATCAATTTGAAGAAGAAAATAATCAAATAAATAGAATAAAAAGAAAGAACTATAGTAATAATAAAAATTGGAAAATGGTAAGTTCAAAAAATTATTATCCTAGACCAAGTCCTCCAGATATTCAATATGAAGAAAGATCAAAATTTAGAACAACTAAATATGATGGAGACTCAATATATGAATGGAACATAGATGGCAAAGCAGAATATGAAGTATTAAACAATTTGCAAGAAATGGGAATGGCGAGATTAGCCTATAAAATTAAAAATATTCAAGAAAGAAATATTGCAACTTTATTAGTCTCAGGATTTACTGGACAATTAAAGAATTGGTGGGATAATGCTTTAACATTACAAGATAAATTATCAATATTAGATCATACACAAGAAATAGAAGATGATCAAGGAAATATTCAAATACAGTCAGATGCTGCAGAATTTTTAATAGTAACAATAGTAATGTATTTTATAGGAAATCCTAAAGAAGAATTAAATTCAAATAAAACATTCTTAACAAATTTAAGATGCCCAACATTATCAGATTTTAGATGGTATAAAGATATGTTTTTAACAAATGTATTAAGAAGACCAGATTGTAATGCTTCATTCTGGAAAGAAAGATTCATAACAGGATTACCAAGTTTATTTTCTCAAAGGATAATGGATAATTTACAAAAGGAAATGGGAACAGATGTAATTTCATTCGAAAATATTACTTTTGGACAATTATTTGCTTTTGTGAAAAAAGAAGGATTAATATTATGTTCAGAATTAAGATTACAAATAAAATATGGATCAAAACAAAAAGAAGTAGGATCATTCTGTGATGCATTTGGAATTAAACGAATCAAATCACCATCAGCAAATAAAAAGAGAATTAAAAAATATTCCAAGAAACCAAGATATATAAAATCTAAGGAAAATGAACCAACTAAAAGAAAGAAATTCATTAAAAAGAAAATTGTTTGTTACAAATGTGGTAAAATAGGACATAAAGCAAACAAATGTAGATTAAAAGAAAAAATTACAGAAATCTGTGTAAATGACGAAGAAATTAAAAATAAATTAATAAATTTGTTAATATCAGAGTCGTCCAATAAAGCATATAACTCTTCATTCCTGGGATCATACAACATGGATGGACTTCGCAAAGAACCACTAGATGTAGGAAGGAATTCCAAATTACTAAGATGTTCCCTAAAAGATGCATCTTCTACACCCAATTGAGGCAGCTGTTTGAGAATTGAAAGCATAATGCTGTCACGCACATCAGTTTCCAACTCCCTTACCCTGTTTAGCACGTGTTGGCTATAAAACTGTGCCTTGCTCATTCTTTGAATACCATGATATCTATTCAGCACCTCCTCTTCGGTACTTGACAAACTAGAGACAAATTCATTAGAAAGGAGGTTCTCAGGACAATCCAAAGGGGGCAAGTACTTTTGAGGATTCAGCAGGTTTGAATACGGAAGATTTTCAGTGGATCCTTGACCATGCATACTGTATATAGGCAACCTCTTGCAATCCAATATGTCAGAATCATCCATAAAGTTACCAATGTACCATTTTGGATCCAGAAGAAAATGGCGTAGTTCATCTCTCTCTTCTGCTGTCAAACACTGGAGGAATACTTGTTCAATGCTGTCACTTGAAGTAAACACATCAAATATAGACTTCAAAACACCAACTCCATCAGCATCATACATATAGTGAAATAAATCAGGATGATCAATGCCATAATTGCTGTTTAGTATCTTACATCCTATCTTAACGAGGAGATTTTGCATCTTCTCAGACAATTTGTCTACACACAATAATTTTATCTCCCTACATGGTCGATACAAATGCCCAGAAAGTGATGGCAAGATTGGCCACTCACCAAATAAGGACAACTTTTCACATTGATTTAAGATAGCGCCACAACAGCACAAACCATGATGTAGCTGGATGATTGGAGTTTGTACTTGGATCCCAATGGACTTCCATTTGATATTTCCATCCAGCAGGCACAAATTTACAAAATAATAAAAGAAACTCATTCAGATTGAATACTTTTATATTTGCTCCAGAAACCCTTGCAATAGCTAACAATCTGCTCAATATGTTGGGAGGGATATTCTTATCAATCAATCTTTCTGAGATTTGTTGAAGCAGCAAATGTTCCAAGTCATTGCAAATAAAGTAAGAGATACCCTTTGAAGCTTCGGACAATGATCCAAAGTCACCATTTGCCAAAGGAAGCAGAGGCAAGTTTAGTGCATGTTTACCAACATCATCATCAACCAGGTCCTCAAGGCAATACTCCAACAACATAAGGTTAGAGGATCTGTCGATTACACTTGTAGAACTTCTACCTCTAAGAAAGTTGCGTACTGAATCAGGAGTAACCACTTATGCTGTACGCCAGAAGCAGAATTTAAGAACATATTGAATAGGCTATTTGGCAACTGAACCACAGGCATTCCTAGCTGTACAAGAGCCTCACTGATTTGCTTACTTTTACTTGAAAATTCCACATCATGAAGAAAAGCTCCAGCTGGTGAAATCCATGTCCCTCCTTGAACCTCTGAGTACATCACGGGAGAGTCACTGATACTTCTATAAATGCACTCAACTAAAATATTCCATGGCTCTTGGAAAGAACCAGTTGGCCACAATGAGTAATACGAGTTTGTTGGCCCAAGTAAGTGCTGCACACCAAGCATAAATAAGAAAAAGTAGGAGCTATAACATCCTCTAAGAGAAGCCTATTCCAGACCGAACGTATTCTCCCAGACCTGTCCATGTCAGCTCCATACCAAATCCCACGACGATTAGACGACACCTCAAAGTATCCATTAATTTGCACATTTAATCCAGTTTTGACAGGTAAAGGGAGGAAACAGAATGCCTGGCCCACTTTAGAAACATTATCCTGAGAGATACAAAGTCAAAAGAACATCAAAATCATGAGAGCAACAGAAAATGTCTCTTTTTTCTCCTTTGGGGGCGGAAGGGTTACAGGAAATGGGGAAAGAGAAATAAAAATTAACCACTGTCGAGATTGCAAGTCACAGATGCAGAAAGGCATTCCTCCTTCACACTGGATGCACACATAGTATCCGCATAAGCATACCTAACTACATAGTATAACTTATGTGTCAAATAGATCAGCTACCAGTATAGCCTGCTTTGATCAAAAATTATGATCTTTAATGCAAGAACCAATGCATGATTCCATTAGTATAAGTACTACATCAAACTTGATTCAGTAATTTGCACTTTATACACAGTCAAGATATTCCAAGAGGCAGGCAAGTGTTCACAAAATAGTAAAACTTGAAAATTAACAAGATATGTTTCTATATATCATATGAAAAGAAGAAAAAAGGCATTGACATTAAAGTGAAAGCTCATCTGATTAAAAAACTCTAAATTCATTCAATTTCCTTCTCTTTATTTATAAGGAAATACTCAAAGCATGGGATATGGCAGAGGTAGGGCACATTCTCAGGATGAGCACTTATCAAAACCAGAAAAGGAATGGTAATTCAAGGAAGCAAGGACAATCTAAGCATAAGAACAAGAAGTTACATTAGATGAATCATCTGAAACACATGCAGCAACAGATGCCCAAGGCAACAGGTGAATGTCAAAATCCTTTGCTGCAGTTGCAGCAAAAGAACCTATCCTACTGGATGTTGATGCCATTGTTTGCACTATATGGTAAGTGTCAGTTCTCTTGTCAGAATGATTCCCCTGCATTGCCTCACTTAAGAACTCCAGTGAAAATGCATCCATTTGAGTCGTGGGAGTCTGTTGGATTTGACAGTCTCAGTAGTGCCTGGCGGTGCCAAATTATATCTTTTGTCACTGAGTTGATGGAGCAAGAATATATCTTCCTAGGCTCAGGCATGTCATCATCCCAAACACACATTTCTATTGACAGTATACTTTTAAGAAAAAGTAGTGAGAAGACTCCTTCCTCATATAGTTGATCAAACATCAAACTGATGTCATCTTCACTGTATGATTGCTTGGAGAGCTTACTATTGGCTGCCTGATCAGCATTTCTCAAAGGGAAACGAAAAAAAGTTCCATGGAAAGGGTTTTTCATATCGCAACCATAACCACAATATGGAGAAAACTGGTCTTTGTACATGAAGATGGCTGAAGAACTAACAAACTCAATTCTCTTTCCAGGATTTGCAGCGGAGATATTTGGGAGGTAAACTCCTTGAGGATCAAATATTACCACATATTTGCCACTTATAAAAGAGGGCAAGTCAGTGAGATGGTACACCGAATTGAAGCCAACCCTGGAAGAGAAAGCATCATCTGTGAGTCAAACACCCATAGGTGCTACAAGAAAACTCTTCCATATCAGAAAAAACCACTAAAATCTCAGGTAGCTGCAAACACAAAATAGAACAACTCTGATGCTTTTCAGGGCTGCAATATAAGTTGATAAAAAACAATGACAAAACTGAAATCAAAAATTGCCAAACATTTGGAATTGAACAAAAAAATGGGGAACAAATATGTTGACTTCCAAAATCAATGAATTTTTCACATTATAATCATATTATGAAGCAGCAGCAAAATAGGCACAAACCATAAACTCTAGGAGAAAAAATACATGAAATTTACAAAAAAATTATATTCAGGTCAGAAATGCAGGATGGCAAGATCTTAAAGCAAAATTGCTGTTGAAAGCAAATGGGTACATTTGCCAAAATTTGGTGTATTGAATCATTTCGTTAACAAAATGTATCCTATATTACAAGCGAACACTTTCAGAACTACAAAACCTTTGAAAGAGGTGGGGACTGGGGACCAGTTGTTTGAGAAATTTCAAATACAATGGAGTCATTCCCCAACGACACTGTTCACAGGCACAAAAACAATTAGACGGGTCCACATCCACAAATCAAACTAGGCATTTGCTACACTTATGAAAGAAAAATCTATTGAATAGTTGAAACAAAGTAAAATAAATTGTAAGACGTAATGATCTACTTTAGGTCTCCCCCAAAAAAAATCCACTTTTAAAGGTTCACAATAGTTTAAGATGGAACCTAGTCATCAAACTCAAAACCAATTAGCAACAACTGGCCCAAAATTTTATTTACTTGAATGGAATCCTTCAAAAAACCAATGCAGGCTTTAGTCCCTTGACACCCACCTGACACACGATATGGAATTGACAAGAACACATTAATTAGGAAAAGGCTTCGTGTGCCTATGAAACTAAAGCAAGCAAGCAAAAAAGTGAGCATATATGGACCTTGAATGGGAGTTGATGAGTTAAATAACCAAAGTTCAATTTTGATACCATGTAAGATCTATAGATCAACAAGCTGATTTTTTGTAACAGACTGGGAGGTTCACAAGTAAAATGCATTTGTTACAATTAGGAGCTTATAATAAATACAATCCAACTTGAGGAGAAGTATTATGGGGAGAAGTTACAGTACAATAATAAATGGTAACTAAACTTCAAATTTCCATTTTTTTTATGAACATCTAAGAAAAGTTCCATTTTTTATTAAAAAATAAGAAATAGTTAAAAATTTTCCAAACATTTTGGGCCATTTATGGTCAGGAGAGAACAGAAATAAGTCCTGCATATTCTCCTGAAAAATATTAGGGCATAATATGTGGATATATACATCTAATATATTGTAAGGCGTAGACAAGAAAATGGGCATTCAATACTTCCAAACCCAATAGGTTTCAGAATTTAATAACATTTGAACTTATCTTGTAAGGTTTTTAGGGCTATAAGGCATTATTGTATTTTCACCAAGTGCTAAAATATTGTGTGACTATCATTTTCATGCATATCTCAAGGTATTACATTGCCGTCTCTAACCTGGAAGATACTAAGACAGGGAAAAGGTTTTAGAACATGCACTAGAATATGATGCAAAGTACATTTCAATCAATACGCTTATAGAAGAAACATCTTATGTGCATATTGTAATATCTCATTCATCATGGCTAAATTAAGTATTTCATTGACCAAAAAGCTAATCGCCTATGACATACCATGCCATACTTGCAGCATTGTAATGTCCTTTACTATTTGAAGTTTAAAACTATAATGTCTCAAATAAACACTTACGCTATAAAGTAGTTCTTGGCAGGATTTAGTAAAGTCCCAAAGTCCCAGCTTAAGTCAAAACATTGACACGACTAATGTTTGACCAGATTATCTTGACACATAGCCCATTCCACCTACCAGGTCATATCCTGTAAAATTGGGTGCTTCAGGATTGTGTAAAGTGCCCGAGTACCATGAGGTTTAATTATCCAGTTCAGTCAAAATTTAGGAGTTAGTCAGATTTGGCTGCCTAAACTAATTTTGCAAGATCAAGCCCAATTCCGTTTCTAAATCTTTCAACTTTTAGCTTTCTTAGTTGTTAGGTTTGCTTAGGTATAAATATTCATCCAGCAATTAAATTTCTTAACCTGTAACTCTGTTTCTTATATACCAATCAGTTGGAATAAATATATGAAAAGGATGGCATGAAAGAATTTATGTTGAGCTGAGATTTGAATGTGCTGGGCTTTCTTTGAAATCATTCGAAGGAAATTCAGACAAGATTTCTCAAGGTCATGCTTTCCATTCTTCTCTTCCTGTTCCTTCTAGCTTTCACTTTTTAAAGTTCTAATTCTGCACTTTCCTGTTACTGATCCTCGAAACTTCTACCACTAAGAATTATACTGGCACCTATATCAACTTTCAATTCTTGAACTACACCCTGTTAGTTCTTCAAACATAGCCAACAGCATGTCAGAGCATCCTTGATCCAAGCTATATAACAAATTCACAAGCCAAAAAGGAAGGAATAGATCAAAGGATTAAACATACTTTTTTACTGTACAATAAAGAAGATCACATTGAAAAGAGAATACTTCAATGGATAACTATATTAATTTGGGCACAGATCTCTTTACTGATCTTCAGAGGGCTGATAGATAGAGGTTGGAAGCCTAAACTTTATCCCAAACAGTTCATCACAATTCAATAAAACAGTCAAAATTACTATAGGAGTTGTGCTAAGTGCAGATGATCAGCAGTCAGGATAGGATAGCATAACAGCTTTATATACTTTCTCTAATCTGCTCTAACTAGAATTATCAAGTCTAAAGCTTGATCTTTTCCAACATGGAATGATTTATGCAAAGAAACGAGTGTTAGACAAACTAGAAGAGCATTTTATCCTTCAAAATGGAGGATAAATTACATTAAACTTCATCTCAACTCAAAAATTCAACCAATAAACTCAATTTGGTAATGTACAGGGTAAATTACGTTGAATTTCATGCAATTAGGTCCAAGATTGAATTTGCCCCTAAAATATTTAAATCAGAACTTTGTCAATATTACTAAATCCTTGAACCTTACTGCTTTTTAACACACCCAAACTTTAATATCATGAGGACAAATGTCCTCTCATTTTCCTAAAGGTATTCTTCCCTTGTTATCTGTTTTTTAAGAACATTAGTTCTTCAGGGCACCAGTTCCAATGATGATTGCTGTTGCACATTTGTGGTTAATCTTTTGTTTATCTGATGGTTTACAGAAAATTTCATGCCCTAAAAAAAGAAAAGAAAAAAAAGTGAGTTGAGTATTGTGATTTCATTGAGAAGAGCTACTGGTAAGAGTAGTGGCAAGTAGCACAAGTAGTGGGAGTAGAGGATTGTGTAGTCTTAGGTTTCTTGGGAGCACATTGGTTGAGAAGAATAAAAAGAAGGAAACAAGGAGCAAAAAGAAAAGAAAAATGTGCATTAAATCAATGAAGGTAAATTCATTCACAAACTTAAAAAATGTAGATAAACATGGCCGGAAAGAGAGATCTATGCCATACAGGGCCGTTCGGATGACTAAAGAGAGCACCGCCTGCTGTAAACTTTTTTACTTTTTTCATCAAAAAAAGTGCTGTAAAATAAAAGTCTTAAAAATGGGCAAAATGAAACATTGACACTAAGAACGAAATATAGCTACTAAGAACTACAAGAAAAATGTAGAACCATAGAAATTACCCAAAGCGACCAGTTTTCCAAGCCTGTCCATGTTTAGAACTCCCCCCAATCCTGGAAATACTAACAAAATCATCCTCGGAGAAAACGGCGTCGTTGTAAGCAAGCAATGCAGGGCCCTGCCACTGCGCAAGCTTATCCGAGAGCAAGGATTGGGTGCCGTGCGAACGGCGATCGAGGCACAAAGAGACCTTAGTAGCTCCGGCATCGTCGGCGTTCTGTATAAGTTCCTTCAACACCGTCGTTCCCTCCGGGTAATTCAACAAAACCTCGCGAATTCTGCGGGTCAGATCCACCTTCTGCCCGAAGTCTTCCAGAAGAAGATTATCAGCTGGAGACGACGATGATGACGTTGACTCTACAGGAGAATTCTTCATTTCTGGTAGATAAGATAATTTGGAGATTCTTCTTCTTCTTTCCGTGTAGTATTCTCATTCAGTAGATGACCAAGTAATCATTCTATGGAATACAAAGAAATGTTGAAACGAAATTTTGTACAAGGGAATGACCATATATACACGTACTAGAGAATTGACTGTTTGTAGAGGCCGCAGGCAACCATACATGGTACCCAAGCAAACACAGATGCCAACTGGCTCAACGCAACTTGGAGGAAGAACGGTTTGTCACAAAAGATTGTTATCTGCGTAGGAGTTGTATTGATAAGCAATATGTATAAACCTCTTTTGATAAGCAATATGTATAAACCTCTTTAAACAACCTATGATCAGTCCAAAAGCATACCCTGATTCATGGTGGTAACTGAAACCGAACCTACTCAAACTTTTTATTACAAAAAAAACAGAAATTATGCTGGAGCTCTGCTCTTGTTCTTCATTTCTAATATGTACTTTATATTTGTGTGTACCTGTGCATAATCATTTATATTATGAACTAATGTTATATACATTATTGAGTGTGTTTGGATAGGCGAATAATGACCAAAATTTATTTGTTTACATCACAAATACAATTTCCAACACACCTTTTTATCTTCCTAATTACTTTTTTATCTCACATACATCACATCATAAAAAGTGTTACAGAAATTATTCCAAATAATATTTCAAATAATCTCCTATCCAAACACAATTGTTAGTGCAAAAAATATGACACATGGACAAAAGTAAATTTAAAATTTGGACAGTGATAATGTGACGTACATTAAACCTACTTGTGTAAAAAAATCTTTACTAATCCCTTATATAATATATATGTGTTATCAATAAAAGTTATTATAGCAAAACATCTACCATCTGTTTGGTTCCACTATGTAATGGCAATGACAATCATTATGGAAGACTCCTCAATGATAATAGATTTATAAAAATTCCTTTTGTAAAAGCTTGTACTTGGTATTGGTGGTGGGATGGGAATCAACTTTTTTTATTTTTTTCCTCTTTTTCGCTTTTTTCCCCTTTCCTTGCATCTCATCTCTCCTGTTTCTTCTTCATCCATCTTTCATCTATACTCACTAATACAGTAAAGCTAATAACCAGTCTTCAGCCCCTAAAGGCCAACCGCTATTACGGCAGCTATTACGGCAGTAAAATAGAGCACCAAATTTTCTTCTTGGGTTTCTAAATTTGGATTTTGTTCATAACAATCAAATTTTTATCAAAATCCCTAACTCGACCATAAGCCACGATGAATTCGTCAACTTTTGTGTAAAAGAAACTCAAAACACCATAATCGAAATACCCCAATCTCAATGTGCCAAGAACCATAATGCCCCATGAATCAAGATTGAGGTGGAGATTAAAGATGAGAAAGCTTGGGGAAGAAAAGGAGATGAAGTAGAATGGGAGAAAGAGACAGACGGGAGGAGGTGGTAGAAGGAAAGAGTTTCAAGGAATAAAGGAGGAATGTGGTGGTAAGAGTTGGGTGGGGATGGAGGAGGAGATAGCAGTGGAAGGAGGTGGAAAAGTAGTGTGACTCTTCTTTGATTTTTCTAAGTTGAATTTGGTTTTGTTTTTCAACTTCTTCTAGAAGGTGGGTAATGGAGGTGATGGTACCAAATTTATGAGGGAATGGCTTTTGGGGTTTGAATGACCCAAAAGCAGATAACGAAGAATCCCTTAATGTACCAAACACATAACCAAAAGGAATCACTACCCTTATATTCCATTGAGGAGTGCAAAACCTCCCAGCCAAACGGGTGGTTAGAATTAGAATTGCTAAAATGTAGAAAAAAAGTCTAATGAAAACATTATAAACCTAAAGCACAATAAAATATACATGCCTAATCCATGAAGTATCAACTATCACAAACACATTATAGGCAATGAAAAGGGGCATTGCTTTTTAACAAAAAGGTCCTAATCATATTGCTTTGTATCTTAAAATATCCATAGAAAATGCCAGCATTTGAAGGATGTGACTGGATCTAACTAAACATTTAAACATCAACATACCGCTACTATCTCAAATACAAAAACTAAAATGCCATGAGTACTTTTTTGTCTGCTCCTTTTCAATTGAATATAAGTACAACAAATGAATTGTGAGATTGTGGAATAAAAAGAAGTAGTTTGCCGACTCAAAGATCGTGGTCAACAATAAAGATGTTCCAATTCTAGTGAAATGTTCTCTGAAACATATTATGTTACTGGGTTAATTCACCGGAGTTGCCTCACACCTCTTCCCCTTAGTGCCTTAATGCCTCTTCTTCATGGTTGAATGGCTGGATGGGTACTTTGATTCTTTTGGTTGGGTTACTAAAACTTCCACTCTCTCTTTTGCAAAAGTCCAAGGTTGGCTATTTAGAAGTGGATAAAAAAAATTTTGAATGAAGAAAATTTTTATTTTCCTTGAATAGTTTTCAGAATGCTAGTTTCTACCATTGTGTCCAATAGGTCTGGCACAATAGTATTTATAGATGGGAAGTCCAGATATGAATCTTTGGACTTAAGAAATATTCTATAATTTTTTCGGACTTCTTATAAACGTATTTACAAGTTTTTTGACAAATCTGAAAAACATCTCTTTATGTCTTGTCACCTTTTTTGAGATGGCTGACAAAAGTTAGTTCCTTTTTATCGGAAATGGGGCAGGAACGGTTGTCAGTGACAACCGTTCCTGAAGGTTCACGGCCACGATGTGGCCTCAAAAATTTGTGCGGCTCAGATTACATCATGTAACTCGATTTTCACACCATATGTGGGACCCACAAAAAAATGTTATAAAATTACGTTGTATGCAATGTAAGTTACATCGTGTACAATGAAAGTTACGCGCCGTGAAAAATGAATACAACCGGCACAAACGGTTGCACCTGCAACCGTTTGTGCCCCTTGTCCCTTTTTATCCTTATATAGCATTTATAAGATTGACATGTTTTTCATCTCCCAAATCGTCATCTAGTGCATCATCCCTATATTCTGTATCAGGGTAATGTGATGATGATTCTATTTTATCTAGAAATTCTAAAACCTTTTTACTAATATGTGATTGTAATTTTATTCTACCTTATTTTATTTCAGTTTCTAAAAATTCTATGTTAGTTTAAAAAACAAGGCCTTTTTGCAACTTATTATTATACCATGTTTTAAAAATTCTAATAATACTGTTTTAAAATGACTAATGTGTTCTTTAACATATCATCTATATATACTAGAACAAATTATCAATATTTTTTCAAAAATATTATCCATTTTACATTGAAATACTGATGATGCATTTTTGAGTCCAAAATGACATTATCAACCATTCAAAATATCCCAAAGGACAACTAAATGTTGTCCATTCTATGCTATCCGGAAGGATTCTAATTTGTCAGAATCCTGATTTACAGTCAAATTTGCTAAATATATAACATTCTTGTATTCTATTTATTAATTGATCTTTATTTGGAATATTATAACTATCTTCTAATGTATTATGATTAAATCTTTTATAATTTTTTACCATTCTACATTTTTCCCTTACTATCTCACTATATTTTCTTACTTTGAACGTTGCACTTCTATGAGAACTTGTACTTTTTCTAATGTAAATTTCTCCCAAACTTATGATGAAATCAACCAAACTATTATACTGCTTATCTTCTAGACTATGCAAACAATGTGAAAAAAGTACAATCTTTCTAGATATGAGAAGAGTGAAATCTTAGTAAATTTTTAGAAGAAAGTAGGCTTTTAATATTGAGAGATAGTATAGTATATCAAAATAAAAAGGAGAAACTAATTTCAGATTCCTAAATTATTCCAAGATAAATACCGGCACAGAAGATGATGCATAATTAGAACCACACATAGAAAATGTTTATATAGAATTAACAAATATAGAAAATAGGATTATATATCCAAGAGAATTAGAATTAACATTAACAGAGAAGGGATTAATATTGTTAGAATTTGAATTAGAACAAAAGGGACAAATAGAGGATAATGAATATTTATATTATAATGAAGATAGGAATATAAGGGTACGAACAAAAATTAATATTGAAAAAATTGACAAACAAATAGAATACATGGATAGTAGTTCAAATACTGGTAACCTTCCATCTTCAGAAATTAGAAATTATTCACCTAGCAATATTCCTAGAGTAACGTATAATGACTATAGAGATAATGAAAAATATTTAATGGTTAGAGACAAAAGACAACCATTAGAAGTTATAGATAGTAAAAATTTAATAGATAATAATTTAATAGATAATGGTAGTGTGTTAAATTTGGCAGCCCATGATTCACAGCTATGGGATAGTGTAATAGATGTACCGAAATATAAAGTAGTTCAACATTATATACAACAAGGGTTTGAACATACAGCACAAGAAATGTATACATATTTAGAAACATACTTAGGAGAAACTGCTAGAGGAGCATGGAAAAAATATAAAGAGAAATTTCCTGAGGAAGTAGTAAAAGATATAGTAATAGGAGCTAATTCTCATAACTTTACTAATAAAATATAATTTATATTAACAATTCAAAGTCCTAATTGTGGAACTAGAATGCAACAAGAGGATGCAATTAGGAAATTAGAACAATTAACAATTAAAAAATGGAGATATATAAAAGCCTTCTAACAAGATTTTTATTATTATACAACTCTAGTAGGATGTTTTTATGAAGAATTAATCTTAGAAAAGTTATTTTTAAAACTCCCAGGAGAATTATGAAAATAAATATATAATAATTATTAAAAAATAGAATAGAATACAGTATATGCAAAAAACGTAGCAACTTGTATAAAGTTAACAGTAGCCAATCTTGTGGATAAATGCTCATTTATAAAAATTCAAAAATAGCTTAAAGGAAAATATAGTTTTTGTAGTACTATATATACACCACAACAATACAGAAATAAAAAAGGTTAGAAACCAATATAAAAAGCCTAAAAAGAAAATTTTTAAAAAAGAAATATTATCTTAGAAAAATCTTCTGTCAAAAAGCCCATATTTAAACAAAGACATGTTAGGAATTTTGACAGAAGAAGATTATATAAGAATAAACTAGAATGCTATATTTGTTGTCAACCAAATCATTTAGCAAGAGATTGCTGTAGAAAAATAACATCTATAATAAACAGACAGTATTAGTAGAATGTGTTAATGAGGATATCTTAAATATAGATGAATACATGTCTGATTCCAAAAGTATATATAGCATTATATATATAGAAGACTTGGAAACAGATTGTTCAGATGAAGAACTAAACTTTGTTAATGAAATAACTAACATAAATAATCACTTAGGATATTTAAGCCAATTAGATTAAGTAGAAAAATATTTAAATGAATTAGTACAGATAGAATGTGAACATGACTAGATAAACAGGATAGGATCTGATAATAAACCATACCATAAATGTGAAA